CTTCCTTCCTTCCTTCCTTCCTTCCTTCCTTCCTTCCTTCCTTCCTTCCACCTTCTCCCCTTTCTTTCCAAGTCACAGAACAAGATCCCTGAATTTCAATTCTCCATATTGAGCTGATGGGCTCCACTCTCCTGGTTTTGAGGGCTTTGGTGGTGGTTTCCCTTTCATTCCCAGGGCTATTATTCTTGGTAGAGATTAGTCACAACAGAAAATGTGATCCTAGACATTTCTTCTGCTGTGCAGCTGACCATGAAACAAAGTAAAAAGGCAAACTGTAAGCCAGGTGGTTACAGGTGCAGAGAATAGATAAGAATTTAGCTTCGTATAGGTTAGGAGACCATTCTTACTGAATTTCCTTGTTTGGGTTATTCCAGCATAGGCTCAAGTTGAGAATCGGGTTTAGGGTTTTGTAAAAAGCATGTACCACAGCTGCACTTACTCCCACCTAAGCTGCCTCTGTCATTGGCAGAGGCCATATCACTGATGTCAACAATTATTTGAGCTAACACCATGACAGGAGATGATAAAATTGCACATGAAAACAATAAAACCAGTAACCTATAAGAATACTTGCTATGGTTGATAGATATGCAAAGAGCTACATGAGCACCCAGCAGAGAGCTGCTTCCTCTGATATGAGGATGGCTCTTCAGACTTGCCTTTTAGTTGAGGCTACCCTTACCTTCCCCGGTTACCCTCAGATGGCCTTGCCAGACTCTGTCTTTCTCCACATTTTTCTCTTTCTCTCTCCTTTTCCACCCATTTGGATTTATAGCTATTAATTGTTAATAGATAGTATTAATATGTATAATTTGATATTAATAATTATCATTTATAATTAAGAGTCATTTATTTTTCCATGAAGAGAGAAGGACAGTTCTGGTTCTATCTTCTTACTCCCTGGTGATTGCTTACATTAATTGAAAACATTCAACATGCATGAACCTGGGAAACAGATTTCCCAGTTTTATCCCTGAAAATCGTTTCCATTTCACTTTTGTTTTTCTATTTCACTTTTCAAGTCCCCCACATTTTCTGAGGCCCATTTACTTTTATTAGCTTGTTTATTTATGTCGGTTTTTTATTTTTTTTTTTTGTACTCTTGCCCACCATAACCTCCTTTGTCTTTAAAATTATAGAAGTATTGCATATGCTGGTCTTTGGTAAATTAGCTGTGTTTGATTCTACTACATATAGAGTATTTTTATTTTGGACAACTTTGGCATTTTTTTAAATGATGTGTGTGAAACTTTCTTTCCTCAATTTGTTCTTTTGAGCTCAAGGGTTAGATGCTATTTATGTCTTTTTGCCATTTTATACAGAATTGTGCTTCATAGGCTTGTTTTTAGATTTAAGATGTTAATACACATAAAAAATAATAAAATACTTACCTTCATAAAATACATGTTGATTAGTCACGGGATTGCTCTTTTTTTCCTTCTTCATTTTCTTTTCTCTTGTATTCATCCATTATTTATTTCTGTAAAAAAAAAAAATCCAGAATATTTTTTATGTTCCCAGCACGTTGTATGCACAGAGCATACACAAACTAATAAGACATGGAATTCACCATGAAAGATAGGCGGACATACTATTTGAAATATCAAGAAACAAGAGCTGGTTCTATGCTATTTTTGTCCAATACATATTTCATGATGAGTTTGACTCTTTTTTGATGTCTGTGAACCATCTATTACTTTGGAAGAATTTTATTACTGATTCAGATTTTCTGCCTTGGGGCCGTGAGCTGCTGTAACAGACATGTTAAATTTTTTAGAAAGCTTGAGTAAGACACAGTATCTATATTGAGGCTTAATGCAGTACATTTGAGAAAATTGGTTTTTCTGTAAGGAAATAACCCCCTGTCACCCTGACCCCAGGCAATGGGTTTCAGATGCATTTAGGAAATCTGGTAATCCTTGCAGCCTGTTATCTCTGAGTGTGACTAAATTGAGTTGAATAAATATTTACTGAGAGCCCACAAAGTGGAGCCTCCCAGCTTCTGCATTAGGTTTGATGCAGAGGTTGGCTATAATGGGGGAGGAAAGCCATCAGAAGAGATAAGAATAAACCCATGGTAGCAAGAGAATTCAGGAGTCTGTGTTGTCTATGGTCTTAGAAATATTTCGGGGCATAGTAGGGAAGCAAGTTGGTGGACTGGTTCCAAAAGAGCTTGGAATTCTTGGCTGGAAGTGGCAAGTTACATATGACCCAACACAACTAAGCCTTGGCTTCACATCCAATAATGAGTCAGTGTCAGGTGAGGCTCTGACGCACTGAGGGTGCTGTGCCAGCAAACATGTGCAACTCTGAAGAATGGTCTCCATCTGATCTCTGGTTGTGATATGATCAGGAAGGAGTAGCCTGAATTGTGGTGTTCCCTGAAATCTTTGATCAGAGTTCTATTCAGCAAAGTTTCTCCTGGAAGCTATGAGGAGCTGTGAGGGGTTATACCTGCTCAGGCCTCCATCCCACTCCCAAATCACAAAACATTCTCATTTGTTTCTTATGATTCTTTAAGAGACATATGGAGTATAAAGGCTACATTTATATTTTTTCTCTTATTTTTGGAAATGATAGCTATTGAGGCTAAGAAGTATGGTTTCTAAGGTCCTTCGACACTTGGTTTCAATTGGGGATTGAAATCTCTTGCAGAACTTCAAGACAACACATAGGTGAAGCATAGTCTATTACTTGAAAAACAAATGATAGGTTGGAGGAAGTTCTTTATCTATACCACCGTCACCTTTTTAATCTTTTTATTAAGATACTAGTAGTTATAGGTATATATAACTCTCAGAGGCCATCAATGACTGGGCCTACATCAGTGATTTTCAAATTAGATACCAATTGAGTGGGAGTAGGGTTACAGTGGTGTCAGTTAGGGTCTGAATACAATAAATTCTAAAATCTTTAATTTGTCTTACCTATTCTTTTAACAAATATGTCTTAAGCATCTACTATGTGTGGGGCTCTGGGCTAATTTCTCAAGATATGCAAAAATATACAGTCTTGCATGGGTTTTTTTTTTCACATCAAGAATAGCAAATTTCAAATTCTTTTTCTGAGATTTGAAGATTTTCTCTTTTTCTCTTTTCTACTGCTTCTTAAAATGAGTCTCTATGTCCTTTGAGTATGTAATAAGCAAAGAAAAGTATATTTCTGACTCTTAACTGTTTTAGAATAGTTTCAAATAAACTAGTCAAAGAGTTATAACAGTGTTTCAAATGTGAATATGAATAGAACATATTACATTTTGTGAAGCACATCACATGCTTGTTTCCATGTAGTATTTATAATAAGGAAGACACTTTTTATTGCCTCCATTTTATAGATGGTGACTCAGAGGCTGAGTAAGCTGACTATATAACTGGTCAAGTTGGTAGAGCCTCGACTGAAAAGGAGTCTGCTGCTCTTCCCAATGCATTATGCTGCTTCTACAAATGTCAAGGGCAGCTGGATGATGGCATTCTTTTTAAACATCCTTCCAAATGGCTTTCTAGCAGTTGGAGTTATTGTTTGAAATATTTTTAAGTTGTTTGTTCTGTATACTTCCTCTATAAGAAAAGGGAAATATGACACATAAACATAGTTGAAGACATGTACCTTGATCTGAAAAGACATCTACAAATAACCTAATCATCTTATAAACTACATCATATAAATTTTTAGGTTGTTTATCTTTTTTTAAAGTTTAGGTTGTATTTATGGATATAGTTTTTAAAAGCCTGGCATTGTTGGCATTTATTTTTGTTTTTGGAAGAACCAGAACTTTCAAATTTTGGTGTAGCAGTATTTATTGATTAATTATTATGTGTTAATGTAACAGACACTGTAACATGTATTCTTTTAAGCTGTCACAACAGCCCTATGAGAAAAATTCTATTATTATCTTAATATTATAGATAAGAAGATTGAGGCAAAGTTAAGTGACTTGCCCAGGGTTATACAGCTATCACGTAGGAAAACTGGGCTTGAACTTAGGCTGACTGGATCCAGAGCCCGTTTTTAACCACAACTTTATAATGCTCTGTCTTGGCACTGAACTGATGAGTGTATGAATATTATTTTTAGGTGACTTAATGGTCTTGGTTTTCAGATTCATTGTGAAAAGCGATTGCACTAGATAATCTATTTACTTAGCAGTACACCTTATTTACATACACGCCTTTTTAAAATCCTCACCCTATAGACGTAGGGTCCTAACATAAGGACCTATAGTATTATTATTGTCCTCTTTTTGCATGGGAAAATTAGGACTTGGAGAGATCAAGTAACTGCTAAAGGTTATAAGGACTGGGATTCAAACACAATATTTTAATAAATATACTTAACTCTCTTTCTTTTTTAGGCCTTATTCAGCCTTAAAATTCTATACATTGAATCCTGTCTTTAATTTAAAAGTCATAATAATAAATTTTTGTTTCATAAACTCATCAATTTATAGTTCTTCCAAGAAATGACCTTGGTCTACAAATGGCTGCAAATGTTTGGAAACTCTAGACATAGATAATAGCAGTCTTAATAATGAAACATTGTGCTATTAATGTTGCATTTTTTTGAGGAGTCACATGTGTAGCAAACAGGATATAACCGGACATGTTAAGCAAGCTGTTGCTAACCTAGAAGACTAAAAGGGATTAGATTCTCATTATTACTCAGAGTTAGTCCCCAAATATCTGTGTATGTTGTTTCTCAGTTTCTTCAGTTTGGCAGGAAGTTTTAAAGAACCTAACAGCATGCCCTTCCGCCCCTGGCATATTTATAAGCTATTTTGGGGTGAGTCATCGGAATTCTGTGGTTTGTATATCCTGAAGTGAGAGAAGGGACACTGACTGTATGGTTAGCATTTATTTGAAACAAGCTAGTTGGAAAAAAATTTCTTTGATAAAAGTTCAATGTTAGGTAAGAAATGCCTGCGGAAGGATCTTTCCATTGTTATAAAGATTTGGCTCATTTTCATGTCTTTGTGAATATCACACACATTTAATTCTTCAGGCTGTGCATAATCACAACTTGACCTACGGCACACAGAAGGCCTGATATGGTATTCGGTTGAAGTAATTACAGAGAATAAACAACTGGCTGAACAACTCTTCTTATGTCCTTGAAATATCTGCTTCCTCATGTCAGAGTAATGCTCTAAGTTTGATAGAATTGTAGATATATGAAAACAGAGAGACCAAACCAAATCCCTGAGGTCCATTGGATAATATCACCAATATTATAATTGCAGATTATGATTAAATCATTACAACACTAAGTCTAAGGTAAAATGTCAGTCATCAAATACATATTTTTTCCTATCTCATCAGGAAAAGAAACTGATTATTAATGGAAGAGGGGAAAAAATACAAATTAGTTGAGTACTTACAGTGTTCCAGATGCTGCAATAAGACTCCAGTAAGTCTCATAGATTGTGAGACAAATTAAAACTGCTTAATGTTCTGGAGAAAACATTACTTCGAGAAATTGAAGTGAGCTTATGGTCTACAGCACCAGTGGTTCATAAGACAGGGGTACAAGGAGAGGAAGTGGTGACATTTGACACCCATGTTCAATCAGTTATCTATTTGATTATGACCACTTGATTAATGACTATAGACAGTCATTGTTAGGGAAGACATCTAGAAGTCGATTATCATATTGGGCGAGTTAAAATAATATCCTGTTTTTTGAAGTATAGAGAGACTACTGTTTGGTCCTTAAAATGGTTTTAGATGGAACATGAATAGGGCATTACATAGCAATAAAATACATAATGGGTAAATGATTTATTTTTAATTTCCTCTTAATCTTCTGATTATGTCAAGTAGGATGTTTGACATCAGTGAAGTTTTAACTCTTCTCAGAACAGGAAACCACATCACTTTGGACTTGAATAACTACTTAATTTACAGTCCTTCTTTGTACGGTTACATTTTATTTATGGCTAGTGAAATTTACATGGAGAATTGATTTTAAACTATTAATTAAATAACAATACAAGTGGTGTGCTGAATAGGTAATGGAGAACTAAACTGAAGAGGCTATACAGCATGTAAAACTTTATAACTTTAGTGATTAAGAGGCAGATAATTTCACAAATGAAAATAGAAAACATAGTTTGCTTAAGTCCTACCTGCTTGTCCAGACCAGTGCTCCTCCAAGCATAGTCCATAGCAATGGTCTGTGAACATTTTGCCCATTAAGTACAGAAATTGCAAGTAATCATTTATAAACTTTTAATTACAGAAATTGCAAGTAATCATTTATAAACTTTTATAGTTTATTGACATTTCTTTGACATTCAATTACATAAAATATTTTTTAGTAACTTATCTTTATGGTATTCTATAGAAATATTAATCTAGAATAGATTAGAAAAGAAACCTGACAGTTTGAGAAGCCTGATGTAGAGGAGAGCACATGTTTAGAACAAGAACATAATTAAGGGATGTGGCAGTATAAGCGGTTATGATAAAGGAATATGTATTGGTGAAAAGTACATGATCTCCATAGAACCTAGAAAAATGAGAATTAAGAGGCTAAGATAATAGGTACATTTATAAGAGTTGGGACTTAACATGGTTGTATCCCCAGGATCCAGCACTGTGTCTGGCATATGGTAAAGCACTGTGTATGTATTTGTTAAGTGGACAAATGAGCAAAGGAATAAATGAATAAATGAATGAACTATGATGTTTTGCAGGCAGGTCTAATGCGATCACCACAGAGTATGCTCTATTATAGTGCAGTAATAGTTCCTTGTGCTTTTCCAGGCATTCCACAACACTCTCCAGTTCCTTTTTTCCTCAATTTTATCAACACCAAGTCAATATCTAAGTATTAATTAGGTTGTCAATGTACCTTGATTCCAAGATGGTGGTGCCTTAATTTAAAGTAATTTTTAATTCTCAGCTGTATACAACAGCAGGAAGAATATGTTGGGTTATGTTTCAATATTAAACAACTCCAATATCTCAGTGGATTGATCCAATAACAATTTATTTCTTTCTCACACACATGCCCAACAAAAATTGACATAGGGCTTTGCCCATTGTAGTTATCTCAACTTGTACATCCATAATAACCACATGGAAGATGTCGCAAATCACACCTTGCCTCTTAGAGCCTCAGCTTGAAAGTGACACATTTCACTTCTATTCATGCTTTTTTTGGCTAAAGTATTGAGCAAATCTAATATAAATGGAGTAGAGAAACACAGTCCTACCATGTATCAGGAAAGTGGAGAGCCAGGGTTATTTTATGGAGAGTGCTAAAAACCTACATATACATCCGCCTATTGTGAACTATATTAAGAGTTATTCCTTCTTTGATTGATCTTCTGTGATTGTACCATCAGCACTGAGTTTCTGCATTTTCAGATCTCTGGACTGAATCTGAATGTGATGACCTCATGAAAGTAGGGCCATTTGAGGTAGAAGGAGGTCCTCTACCTCAGCCATCAGCCCACTTACTTTAGCAACTCTGTCTTCAGTTCTTTCTTTAATACCAATAGTGACCTCTGGTATATATACCCCTTTTGTTCAAATACTCTTTATGTTGAGTACATCTTTCCATAAGAAGGCAGGCGATTGGCCTTGAATCTTAGTCTGGGAAATTTCTTCTGGTGAAATTTTAAACTGAATGTGAATATAAACATTTATAAATATTCTTATGATTGTTAGACTGAATCAGCTTTCAAGAGGCTGATCAATTCTGAGAAAATCAAGCATATCAAGGTTTTAGACTTGTAAACCTGAGCAGTAGGTCCTAGGTCCTAGGGAGCTATAGATTCTCCTCTCTCTCTCTCTCCTCTCTCTCTTATCTATCATCTATCTATCTATCTATCTATCTATCAATCAATTATCTATCCTATCTATCATCTATCTATCTATCTATCTATCTATCATCTATCTATCATCTATCTATCTATCAATCAATTATCTATCTATCTATCTATCTATCTATCTATCTATCTATCTATCATCTATCATCTATCATCATATTCTAAGGCAGGACATACCTATATATCTAGATTGGGCTAAAAAGGTTACTATTGCAATGCATGAAAATTTTTACTCTCTAGTGAAATATAAATCATCTTTACCCCTTAGAAGTATCTATACATAATTTGTTTGCAAATTTATGAGGAAAGAGAGAATGTGCTTTTAAAAGGAGACCTTTTTGCTTCTATTGTTAGCATTGTCAACTTCCAAAATTGGTGGAATCTGAATCAAGAAGGAATCTGAATGTGAATCAGGTGAAATTTGACTACATACTTGAAAAGCCCATGATTTTCAAAATTACAAATAAAAATAAAAAGAACACTGTCTGCCTCTGTCTACAGAGAGAGGACAGAGTGGGGAGGTAGAGGCCTGCAACTTCTAAATATGATTAGTATAAGCACTAGATTACTGAGCTTCTCCAAAGCCACTCTGAAGAGGCTTTCCCCCTCAGCCGCCTGTGTTGAACACATTAACAGAATGCTTTCCAGACCTTCACAAGACTGTGCCAGTGGACACAGACTAAATCACTCAGCTGAATGGTAAGGGGGAGGGATATTTTATTACTCCTCAGTCAGCTGTTGTGCATCTAGACATGTAGCTAATCATTTATTAGCCTCTAATTTTAGAGGCTGGCTCTAGATGATAAGCCTCATAAAAAGCTAACAAGAAGATGTCTTTGATAAGGTGGTAAATCATTAAATAGAGGAATGACCAGTTGATTTATGACTTACTGGAGTACTTTAGACTATGAAAGATAAATCCTTATTTCTGTTTTGCAAGTGATAGCTCTGCTGTCCCTTAAAAAAATTAAGCTTGGATTATACAATATAAAAAAAGAGTACATTTTTACCCAATTTCAGAGATTCTATTTGAATAGCTGAACTCAAATTCTAAGATTTCTTTGATTCATAGAAACTATTGTTAAGTTTCTTCAATTGGGGTCCGTATCTCTAGAATAATCTAATATCAGTATAGTAGGTGCTCAGTGAGTATCTTTTGGTTGTGTGCATCAATCCTGTGTTTAAAACGTAAGGTTATATAAACAAAATATGACTAAAAAACATAAAAAATTAGGTCCTGCTTTTCTCTTTATCTAGCACATTCTTCATGTTCCTGCTTCAGGATCTTTGCACTTGTCATTCCTTCCATCTAGAACAACTTTTTCTGAGATATTGTTGTGGCTTGTTCTTTTACTTCTTTCAGATCTCTGTTCAAATGTCACCTCCATAGAGACACCTTACCCTGACAGTTTATATATCGTATCACTTCTCTCACTCTAGCCCTGCTGTTATTTTCTTCGTAAAAACTGGATGGTATTCACATATTCATTTACCTATTTATTGTCTTTCTTCTGTGTCAGAATGTAGATTCCATGGGATGGGGTAGTGGTGTGGGAATGACATCATGTGCGTTATAGCTATTTCTCTACTACCTAGATGAATGCCTACATCCTACTCAGTGAGCACTTACTAAATATTTTTAAGAATGAAGAAATGGATAAATGAATGGATGAGTCAATTAGGCCATAAGACTAGAAAATTGTTATGGTTCCCATAGGCATAATTTTTTTTCTCTAAACTTAGCTTATTGTAGTAAAATCAGAGAGTGAAATAACTTCTTGTGATCTTTATTGCTATAATAGTCATATGATATAGGCTTCTCTTATGAAGATAGTTATTTAAAAGTTCTTTTGTTCTCACTATGTTATATCTATATTTGGACTAAAGAAGATAAAGAAAGGATTTGATTTGGGGAACATAAAGATCTTAGAATAATGAAGTAAATTCTGGTACCTAAAAGTTATCTTTTGTCAGTTTGTAGTACAAAAAAATGTTAATTTCTTAAACACCAAAAAATGAGGACTTTTAGGCATAGCTAATTGGTGACAGCTAAAAGTTCTTAAAGTAAAGTTCTAAAATTTGGTTTTTTTGCACATAAATAGACTTTGGAAACTCATGACAAAAAGGTCTATTTCAAAAATAATGTGAAAATTTGAAAATGAAATCAGTTTTCTAATCCTAAAAGAAGTTTTCTAAAATGCTGAGAGCAGAGATTCTCTCAAAAGGCAGGACCCCTTCTTGTCCTCAGAAAATTCCTTCTCTATAAACAAATAAACTTCTAAATAGTCTTTCTGAACTTCAACAGCATGGTCTCAGAGCCACTTTTAGATTGGGCAGGAGAGCAGGGCAGGCAGTTTTGAACTTGAGCTTAGGAGAAGTGCTGAATGTACGTTGCACAGTGTAACTACAAATCTATGGAAAGAAATATGAAAAAAAAAAAAAGTAAGTCAATCCAGGACTTCAGAAATCCTCAGTTAGAAAAAATGTTCATTACACAGTTCTGATATCCTATTTCCTCTCCTTACCACATAGGTAGTTCAGAAATATTTGTGCCAATGTTTCCTTGGGAGCAGATAAAAGTGGTAGAAATTATAAAAGATAAGTACACAAGGGCAATATCATTTTGTGGTAAAATACAACTTAAAACACTGTTTAGCTGATAATTTCCTAGATATATACTTAATTTTGTTATAACTTTTTTAGACATACATAAAAATTCCTATAAATTACTAATGATTATTTACACTCTCAGGTCAGCTTTTCAGAAGTCACGTGGGGGAAGGTGATGATATATAAAAGCAGGAATTATGTGAAAGACACATTATGTCAACATGTATAATTACAAATAAATAGAATTAGGTGATGGGTACTTTCTCTTAAATAGCCATAAGAACCCAGGAAAGACAGTTATTCTCTCTTGTCCTTATTTGCTCAAAGTGTGGAGTGGGAATGTGACTAAATATAACATTCCCATGCCATTTAATTTGCTATGATAAATGATTCACTTTCTGAGACAATAGCATTTTCACATGTATAGTTTTATCCAGGTGAAAATAGATTGCTTCCTTTTTTTCTTTGTTTTATAACAAAAGTATTTTATGAAAATAGTTGCTTCAAACTTTTACGATTATTTAAAAAGTTATTTGCATTGTACAATGCAGTATTATTCAGCCGTTAAAGAAAAAGAAATCCTGCTATTTGTGACAATATGAATGAATCTGGATGACATTATGCTAAGTGAAAAAGGCCAGACACAGTAGGACAAATGCTGTATGATCTCACTTATATGTAGAACCTAAAATAGTTGAACTCACAGAAATACTGGGTACAACAGTGGTTACCAGGGTTGGGGGAAGGGGAGATGGGGAGAATTTGGTAAAAGGGTAGAAAGTTCAGTTATGCAAGATAAAAATGTTCTGGAGATCTAATGTACAGCATAGCAGTGATAGTAAACAATACTGAATTTTATGGTTTTATACTTATAATTTGCCAAGAGAGTAGATCATAGATGTTCTCATCAGAAATTTAAAAAAGGTGACTGACTATATGAGGTGATAAACGTGTTCATTACTTGATTGTGGTGATCATTTCACAATATATATGTATATCAATATATCAAGTGATACACTCTAAATATATACAATTTTCATCAAAAACCTACCAAAAAGCAAAAGTCCAGGACCAGGTGGCTTCATCAGTGAATTCTACCAAACATTCAAAGAAGATTTAATACCTATCTCCTCAAAGTCTTCCAAAAAATCAAAGAAGAGACAATACTTCTCAACACATTTTATGAGGTCAATAATACTCTGATACCAAAACCTGGTAAAGATAACACAAAAAAGAAAACTACAGACCAATATTTCTCATGAACACAGATGCAAAAATCCTAAATAAGATACTAGTGAACCGAATACAGTAACAGAATAAAAAGATTATACGCCATGGTCAAGTGGGCTTCATCCCAGAGGCACAGGGATGGTTCGACATACACGAATCAATTAATGTGATACACCGCATAAACAAATTAAAAAATAAGAATTATATGATCATATCAATAGATGCAGAAAAAGTCTTTGACAAGATACGACATCCATTTATGATCAAAACACTTATCGAAATTGGTATAGAAGGAAAGTACCTTAACATAATAAAGGTCATCTATGACAAACCCTCAGCCAACATTATACTTAATGGTGAAAAACTAAAATCCTTCCCTCTAAGATCAGGAACAAGGCAAGGCTGTCCACTATCGTCACTGTTATTCAATATAACATTGGAGGTCCTAGTGAGTGCAATCAGGCAAGAGAAAGGTATAAAAGGTATCCAACAGGAAACAAAGAAGTCAAACTGTCACTTTTTGTGCATGACATGATTCTCTATATAGAAAACCTCAAAGACTGCAAAAAAACACTACTAGAAACAATAAGCAAATACAGTAAAGTCTCTGGATAAAAAAAATCAACATTCAAAAATAGCGTTCCTATACTCTAATAATGAAGTGTCAGAAAAAGAAGTGGAAAAAATAATTCCTTTTGCAATTGCAACAAAAAGAATAAAATACCTAGGAATAAATTTAATGAAACAAGCGAAGGACCTATATAATGAAAACTATAAGACCCTATTAAAAGAAATTGAAGAAGATACAAAGATATGGAAAGATATTCCGTGTTCTTGGATTGGAAGAATCGACATAGTTAAAATGACCATATTACCTAATTATACAGATGTAATGCAATCCCCATCAGAATCCCATCGGCTTTTTTTAAAGAAATAGAACAAAAAATCATCAGATTTGTATGGAAGCACAAAAGACCCCGAATTGCCAAAGCCATCCTGAGAAAAAAAAAATGAGGCTGGAGGCATCACTCTGCCTGACTTCAAATTATACTACAAAGCGACAGTAATCAAAATGGCATGGTATTGGCAGCAAAACAGACACACGGACCAGTGGAACAGAAACGAGAGTCCAGAAGTCATCCCATATTTATATGGACAAATAATTTTTGACAAAAGAGCCAAAAACACACAGTGGATAAAGGAAAGTCTTTTCAATAAATGGTGCTAGGAAAACCGGAAAGCCACTTGCAAAAGAATAAAACTAGACTGTTGTCTATCACCACACATCAAAATTCACTCGGAATGGATTAAAGGCAACAGCCAAATGGGAGAAGGTACTTGCAAGCAACACCTCCGATAAGGGCCTAATATCCAAAACATACAAAGAACTCATACAACTTAATAACAACAAAAAACAAATGATCCAATCAAAAAATGAGCAGAGGACCTGAACAGACACTTCTCCCTAGAGAACGTATAAATGGCCTACGAATATATAAAAAGATGCTTGACATCGCTAGCTATTAGGGAAATGCACATCAAAACCACAATGAGATACCATCTCACACCTGTTAGAATAGCTATAATCAACAGGACAAGTAATGACAAATGTTGGAGAGGATATGAAGAAATAGGAACCCTCATACAATGCTGGTGGGACTGCAAATTGGTACAACCACTATGGAAAACAGTATGGAGGTTCCTCAAAAAACTAAGAATTGATCTACCATATGATCCAGCAATCCCTCTGCTGGGTATTTACCCCCAAAAAGCAACCAAAGTGTCCTACAATAGATGATTGGCTAAAGACGCTGTGGTACATATATACAATGTAATATTACTCAGCCATAAGAAGAGATGAAATACTGCCATTTGCGACAACATAAATGGACCAACATGGAGATAATCAAGCTAAGTGAAATAAGCCAGACAGAAAAAGGTGAAAATCACATGATATCACTTACATGTGGGATAGAAACCTATAAGCAACAAATGAGCAGGACAGAGACTCATGGACATGGACTATAGGCTAGTGGTTACCAGAGGACTGTAGATTAGTGGTTACTAGTGGGGTGGGGGAGGAGGGGGGGAGGTAGACGTGGTAAAAGGGTAAAGGGGGTCAAATATTAAGGTTTAGGGGAGGGCGAAGTGGGTAACGGGGATCAAATATATGGTAGCTGGAGGAAACTGGACTTTGGGTGGTAAACACAATAGAATATACAGATGTCAAGTGATAATGTACACCTGAAACTTATATAATTGTATTAACCAATGTTACCCCAATAAACTTAATTAAAAAATTTTAAAAAGTCAACCAACATGATTGAGTTATTGTTTTTAAAAGCTAAATCCAATAGTTTATTAATTTATTTAATAAATATGTATAAGTTTCAAAAATAAATAAATAAATATACAATTTTAATTTGCCAATTATACCTCAATAAAGCTGAAGAAAAACAAGTAGCCTAACCAATCTGCCAGCAAGCGGACTCTTTAAAGAGCTCAGCTAGGGTAGATGTGTTTCTACCCTAGAGCCTCTGTATCTGCAAGAAGACTAGGTCGATCCTTCCTTGTCCTAGGCAATTCCCGAGTTGGTCTCTGCAGGTACCAGTGAAGAAATGTCCATTGGGTTCTTCCTTTTTATAGGGCAGATAGGGCTCTGACTCATTAAGAATGACCAAGCATTCTGTGACTGAGCCGCCTGAGTGCAGAAAATCTACATTTTTTTTTTTAAATGTAGATAGTGGCTAATCACACTTCTTTATTTTATTTTCAATATAGCATTAGAATCTAAATTAAAAGATTATTATTACTTGTGTTAATTCATTTTATTTTAAGGCCTATAGGCTTCAAGAACTTTAAAAAGTAGTCTGTTAACTGGCTCTTTACAGAGTGGCTTTTGTTCAATTATTCTTAGGCTTTATCAGGGAGACCTAGACCAAAACTCTGATGTACAGAGCCAAGAATATTTACATGTGTGGTTAATATTACCTGTTATCTTAGAAAGAAAAGTTGAACAGGTAGCTGTTCATTTGTATGTGTGGTTTATTTCTATATCCAGGGTTTCTAAATTCAGGACTCCTGTATAGACTTTCAGAAACGTAGTTTCTTGATTCCACTTCCCTTCTGATTTTCATACAAAAAGAAGAGGCATGATGGTATGATTGTTTCTATGGGTTTGGTTAGCATTTCAGTTTTGAATCTGACTCTGTAGATCTCACTTTCTTTTTCTCTCATAGCTTGATTCACAGAGACTTTACTTACAAAGACCATTACAGACAGCCGTGAGGGAAATAGAGAAGACTAGTCCCTGAAAGGCAACCTGCGATGAGCAAGCAGGTGCATAAAGGGAGGGAGGTATGGTGTGAGGAGCCAGAGAACCACCTTCAGCAAGCAGACAGAGTGAACTCTCAGAGGCATCTCAGTTCTTTCTGGCTCCACATAAAGTCATTTTTTTTTTTCTCGTTTCAGCTTTCCTCACCAGGCAGAAGCAAGCCCCAGTCCATGCCAGGAAATTGTTTTTGACTGGCAGACACAACAATGACAAGAATCAAGATTAAGGCCTGTGAGGAAAATGGAAATAAATGCTGAAAATTCCCCTACCCACCTTGAAAGGCTAACCTGGAGTGAGAGATTGCTTTCTCAGCTAGATTTATCTTTCCAGGTGTTTTGTAGAAGCCTAAGAGTCAGTCAGTGGGTGTGAGTCATCTGGCTGTGGTAAGATTAGAAATTCCTAAAACATGATATAGAAGTCCAGTCCAGCATTTGGCAGGGAAAATGAAGGAAAGCAGCCCTCTATGAACTTTATCACCACCTTCACCCCTTGGGGGCCTAATTTTCTTTCTTAAATTTTGGACAGGTGCAGATAGAGACACCTGTTTTCTAATCTTCCTTTTCTCTGTTTCTTTTCTTCCCTTTTTCCTGATTCTGTAAAACCAGAGCAAGTACATTTAAGTTGAATGTATAAAAGGTAATAATCAGGAAATCGACTTTTCATGTAAAAATGATTGAAAGAGGGAGAAAATGTAACAGGAGAGACAGAAGAGGTAGAGATAGAAAGAGAACTGGAAAGGAGAAGAGAGTAGGAAGGAGGTGAGGAACGGGGTGACGGGGGTCGGGGGAGTTGGAGCGCCCCTGAGCCTGCAAACACCAATGGTGAGAAGAGGAGTCTGTGTTTATTTCAAAGACTAACTGGGAACACACTTTGCTAAATTGTGCTTTCCTATTTGCCCAGCCTTAACTAAAGAAAACAAAAGCTGTTGCAGGTGATATTTCAGGAAAAGGCAATTGCTGCAATTCACTTAATTTAAATTTTAAGACATTTAGTCGTTAAAAATCTGCCAGAGCAGAGTTTCTGTACGCTTGAAATTTCCACATAGCTTGGAGCCATGATAAGCTGGGCATCAGGTGTTTCTACTCCATAAGCGCTCTTCAGACTGCAGGTAAGTCTGGGTGAGAACAGTGTTTCTGGTGCCCATTCGAAGTCTCTTTGGCCTGCCTTCCTGAAGCAGAGTAATACAAATTTGAATTTAAAATGAAAATGAGCATCTTATATATGACCTCTCTCTCTTTGTTTTTTTTTTTTTTTTTTTTAATAGTATTCCATTTCATTTACAGAAGTCAAGGTTTCCTGTTTAACTACTAAATGTCTCTCTATCCCTTAGAGCCCAGGACTGGAAGAACGAAGATGAAAAAGTCAAGTGGGTTCTTAGAAGTGCCAAAGTACTTTTTCTCCTGTTATTATTATTATTTTTAATTTTTTTATGGTGACATTGGTTAATGAAATCCAAGTTTTAGCTGTACACTTTAACAGTAAGGCATATGTATATTTACACTGTGTGTTCACCTCCCATAGTTAGATTTCTTTCTGTCACCATATATTTGACCCCTTTTACCCCGTCTACCTCCCCCGTCGCCTACCCCTTACCTTCTGGTAACCACTAGTCTATAGTCCATGTCCATGAGTCTCTGTTTGTTTGTCCTGTTCATTTGTTGCTTTTAGGTTTCTATCCCACATATAATTATTTTTACTTTGAGGACACCTAGTGGTACTTTATTGGCGGTGTTTGTCAAAGGCAAACTGAAAGAAACTTCAGGATGTAGTAGTGGTGGGGGAACCTACTTTTCAAACTGACACTTTCACACTTTTGGCCAGGACTTTCCTTTCAGACTGAAGACAAAATTGCTATGGTCTTTGGTGATAAACAGGCCTTTGCCAGCTGCTGCTGCCAGATTCCCACTCCTACTTTACACAGTTATCAAAAAAAATTCCCTTGTTCTAATTATTTCACAAGTGGTATTTAGTGAGCTCATTGTTTACTGACACCAATGACCTTTTTTTCTTTTTTTTAAAAAAAGACTACCAAATGGCCACAATCTGGTCAGTTCATCAACTAATGAACAATATTAATAGTCTGCTTTAGGTAGATGTTTTGAGAGGAATAAAAAGACAAGACAAAAATCTAGGTGAAAGGGAATTTTTTACCTCTTTACCTCTGGTGGTGAAGTATTCCTTCCTAGCTGTGTCCTCAGAGTCAATGACCTAATAATCTCTCTAACTCTCCTTTTCCTCATCTGACACATGGAAGTGAGTGTACTCAGTTCATAAGGTGAGTTGTTAGATTACTTGAAAACTTGAGACAATTCGCATAATGCCTAGTATCTGGTTGATATTAAATAATTATTAAGATCCTTCGCTCTCTATTCCCTTCACCAACCCCATACCTTGGACACGGCCCTTGTCGTAGTTGTCTTCTGGATGGAAGTGTTTACTGCTTCCCAGAACTCTGACAATGCCACTCTGATCCATCCCCGTTTGAGTCCAAGTAATAAGCACATCTCACAGCTCTGGTTCTAACTTGCAATTCAGATGTGCTGGCTTGCCCTGGATCTGTCTTACAACCCTATTCTATTAAGTCAAAGTAAATCACAGAAAGTTAAATCTGTGTAGGCAGTTTCCTACTAGTTATGATATCCAGCATCAAGACTGGCTATTTTAGTATTAAATTTCCTGATGGTTGTGATTCAAGAAGGAATGACACAATTAGCTCTTTGCCAGGGAAGCTATTGATATCTAATTTTCATGTTTGGCTTAAGTTTAGAAAAGATGGTTTCTACAATTTTCACTGCATTTACTGTAAAGTTCAAACATTTTAATATGGCCTCCAAGGAGTTATATTTCTAGTCTCAACCCACCTCTCCAACTTCATTCTGAGCCACACTTGGATTTGCTTATTATGTTCCTACACATTAATATTAAAAAAAATTTTTCATGAACCAATTGAGCTCTTTTTTTTTTTTACCTTGTGAAATTAGAGCATGAGTATTATTCTCTTCATCTAGCTAAGTCCTTCTTACACATTCTTTAGGATTAAGCATAAATGTTGCTTCCTTGGAGAGTTCTTTTCTGACCCTAATCTAAATTTGGTATCTGCCCTTATTCTTTTTCCTTATACTTCTCCTTCCTAGCAACTGTCATAATTTCCAGCTGTGTGTGTTTATATTTGTTTGTTTACTGTCTGTGTCCCCATTAGAAATGTATTCTCAGTAAAAATAGAGACATGTCTGTTTTGTTTATTTATTGTACCTAGCAAGATGTTTGTTTCATGTGAAGCACTCATTGAATGGTTGAAACCAATCCTATTAAAGAGAAAAGTCCATGGATCATTTCCACATGCAAACATGACTTATGGTTTCCTTGACAAAGCTTTTGCTTTGTTCAGCAGTCTTCTGGGGAATCCCCTTTGCCTCAGAGATTATTTTTGGTTACTGATAGTTTCAAATAAACAAAAACTGGTTCCTAAGATCTCCTCAGAAGAATCTTTATCTTTCTAAAATGCTTTTCCCCCTTAAAACAAGCAATTCAATTAATGCTTCTTACACATTTTTTTTGGTATGTGCAAACTAATAACAGCTCAAATGACACTGGGACAAATTTCCATCACAACAGATAGCTTTGTGTAATGAAAAGAATTTTTACTCTCTCAGTCTGTGGATTGAGAGCTAATCCAAAAATCTGTCTGTCCTTTAGTCAGTGAGTAATGCACAATTCCATAGTCCTTATCTTTACATAGGACTAAGCCTTACCTACTAGTGTGCTATTAAATGCCTTAGTACTTCCAAAATTTGGTATTCACAAGCACCAGTGCATTAATAAAGTTCATTAAGGATTTGAATTTCTCCTTCTTTTAACACATCTGGTTGATACATTGTCTTGGCAATTGCAAAGCTCCCAGGCAACTAAAATTTTTCAGAAGTACATATTGTTAGCTATCATAGTATGATTTTGAAATTGGTTTTACATTTCATTTCCCATTAATATTGCTTTTTAAAAATTAAAATTGGTGTTTATTTAGCTTAATCATTTTCCACTTGACTTGTTGTAAATTGTTTGGTTAACCCTACAGTTTAAAGTGAGATATATTTAGATCACCAGCATTTCTCTAGACCTTAAGACTTACACACATTATGATTAAAATATGAATCATTTTGTCTTGGTTTGATTTCTCAGAAAGCAGAGCCTAAAACAAAGACTTCTGGACAAAGTTTATTTGGGAAGTGACTTCAAGAGTAAGAGAGTGGGGAAAGTGATACAGGAATGAGGGAAATCCAATATGAATGTGTTATTGAAGTTGCTGCTGGATCAATGGGGGCCTAGATTCCCCTGAAACCTCTTGAGAGCCTTACGGGTTCAGTTCAGGCAACCCTCCAAGTGATTTCTTCCCACATTCTTTGAATTTCTAAGTCACCCTATATATGACCCTGTCTTCTTTGACGGTTGACCCCAGGGGCTTTAGGGCACTTGTGGGCTGCCCAGCACAGTTAGTAAAGGTTCCTAGGCAAGAAGTAAGATAATGCTCATTGTGAGTTGAGTCTGAATTTATATGGAGCTGTTCACAGCTATTTGGCTAAAATCAGAGGTGGTCTGAGGAATCGTGCTATAGGGCACCGGAGGTAATTGCTAACACACTCTTGCTGATAGAGTAAATGTATACATAACCAATTGCACAAATTGGCATGTAGAATATTTTCTCAATATTTTTATTGATTTTTATTATTATTACTATAAAGCTGGAGTCTTTTGCCTTGCTAGGGTGTAGTTGTAATTTGCAGAACCTGAAACTGAAATTAACTGTATTTTTTCTTCCTGGAATTCTCTTTCTATTGCTGCCTTCGCACTCTTAGTTTGTGCTTCTGTGGACTCACTCACCCTCAAATATCACATTTCAAGGAAACCTTTTTCAGATCCTTCTAGTTGGAAGTAATTTTTCCCTTTTTTGAACTGGTGTAGTCCTTGGTGATACTTTTTCAGTGGCGTTTATCAGAATCTATCAGCTATCTGGCTATTTCATTCAATTCTCATATCCATGCTGTTTCTACTTTCTGGATTGCCTTTATCCATTTTTTCAACCTGGTTAATTCTGAATTACTTTACCTGGTAAAGTTCTAACTCCCACTCATCCTTTAAGATTTAGCTTAGGCAACCTTCCAGGTGAACTGTCCCTCTCTCCACCCATCTTCATTGCACTCCCAGATCCCCTTGAACACGACTTCGTTCTAATATTTACTGACTAAATTGTACTGTAAATTTAGTTTACACACACGCGCGCACACACACATGCACACACACACACACTCACTTCAATGCTTCTCAGGGGAACAT